TTAATTTTGAGTTGTAAGTATGATAATTTATAAAGATAATAAAGAGTGAAATGAAAATACCATAAAGTCTCATGCAATAAGTATAATATTTAAGATTTAAAGATAAAAAAAATAATATACATACTAAATTTAAAAATAAAAATAAAAATTTCCGAAAATTAAGTGGTGGACAGCCCGTGTGGGTGCCCCAGTTCCCCCACACCTAGAACCGTTCCAATAATACAACAACAACCGCCTCACTCCGCCCCTGAATCTTCAAACCAATTGTCCAATAATTCCTTCAAGGGGTACTTCAATCTGAAAAATATATACTTCCACACCATCACATGCACTGCAAGAATTTCTACCGCTGTTCGAATGCCCCCAATCCCAGAAACATATCTTTCATTATTCTCTTCCAGGATGATACTTCCCTATCAAAGATGTTTGGCCTAGAAGTCGAAACATAAATCTCAACAAGAAGAGGAAACTGCAACAACACGAAGAATGTGACAGGAATACCAGCGAGCAAAGTTATAGGAATGACTACCCACAATCGCCCGCCTAGCAAAATGACAAGAGCGGCACAAAATGCCATCGTCATTGTTGCAATAGATATGAAGAGTGAAGAAAGGCCCATAACCAACCTAATAGGTAAGGATTTATGGAAATCTTTATAACCAAAACGTGAAGTGAGAATCCCCAAAAACATTATCACTGAACTTGATGCAGCAAAAAGAGAAATTGCATCTGATACCATAAATACCATAAACGGTATCGGAGTTTTATGCAAAAATATAGGAAAACCTGCACTTTGATCATTCCCACCAGGAACAGTAAAAGCCGCCGCAAACGTAATGGTAATAATAAGAGCACTAACGACTGTAGAAGATTCCGCTGTTTTCTTCACCCATTCCTTTGCTTCTTTTAGCAAATCCTGGTGTTCTCTAACAAACACTTCCAGGGGAGTTTCGCTGTTAAAGTTTCTGTGTTCGTGGTGAGATCGTGGAATAATTTCTTCTACCCCCTACAGTGTTTCATAATATATGAAGTAACGAATTATGTAAGATTTCTCAATACTTAGTTAGAAAAAACAAATAAAAATAAAAAATTACCTTGAACCAACGTAATTCACTTTGTAACTGCAAAACTGAACCAGAGATGCAATCTAATTGATAGCGAGGGGATAACTTTGCTGCTAGATGTAATATATTATTTCCGTCTTTATCGATGGTAATAAACATGTTTGTATCCTCTGCAAATTCATAAAGAAAGCGGGCCACTTCCTCTTGACGGTGTGCTACAGCACAAGCAAATATGTTTCTTGATGAATCTTCAGGATCTGTGTTGCTCCATACCATATTATCCTTAGCTTTTGTAATAATTTCTTTCACAATGACTGTGATGCCATTCTTGATAGCCGGAAAAGTTGCTTCCATTGCGTTACTTTGCACAAACTGATTCTGATCTAATTTTGAAAATGACTCACATATCAAACGTAGAACCTCACGGGCATACTCATCCCTCAACTTTAGATCATATAAATGCTTTGCTAATAACAAAAAAAAAAAAACCTAAAAAACTTTAGCATAAAGAATCAAGCTATATAACAAAAATGAAGAAAAGGACTAATTGAGTGGATGTCGCATTTTCTTACCAAGGAACCTTGAGAGCATTGAAACCAGTACGCGCAGCGCCACTACAATGAATGAGTATACATTTAGGATCAGAAAGAATGAGTTTCATATTTGCAATTTACTGCCTTTATAACCGTTAGCTAAAATGTGTATGCTCATTGAGTGGATCGATCTTGTTGCTTATATTGCTTACCAAGAATCAGGGTACCAAGGATAGCTGGCATTGAAAGCATCATTACGGCTGGCATCACTACAGTGAATAAGTTATGTTCAAGATTAGAAAGAATGAGAGTTTCATAACTACAATATAATTGATTTCTTAGGTAAAAAAATATTGCCTTCAATGTCATAATAAAAGAATAAAAAATATTAAATGTCAATTTTAGTCATTGAATTTTTTGTATTTTTTATTTCTAAACTATGAAAAATATATTTTTTTATCTTTTTTGTTAAGTACGTCCATATATAATTTTAGTCTGTTGTTCATTTTTAGTCTGTTTATATATATACATTTTTAGCCAGTTTAAGAACTAAAAATATATATAATTTGATAGACATAATAAACTAACCGACAAAAAAATTAAAAAAAATATTTTTTTATAGTTTAAGAACTAAAAAAAGTGCAAAAGTAATAGAAAAATTAAACATATTCAAAATTAAAAATTCAATAATTAAAATTTGACATTTAGTAAAAAAATGACCTTAATCCAAGTTATAAAACAAAAGGAATAGCAGACACATCCAAGAAATATGCTTTGCCGATAAAGACATAACGCAAAAATAAAGGGTATTAAAGTCTCGTTCAATAGACATTATTGCTTACCAAGGAAGATACCAAGGAAGATAACCAGTGGTACTGCAACTGCAGGGAATGAGTAATAATATTTAGAATTTTGAAGGAATGAATTTAATAAATACAATAACTGATTGTGTTTTCATAATCCTTAGCCAAAAAGATTGTTTTTAACTCACAATAAAGGAACACAAAATGATCTTATTTCAAATTATTATAAAACGGAATTAAGAATTAATATATAAATGCAACGACTCTGAATCTTGCATTTATTTGCTTGTTGATAAAAAATAAAAAAAAAAGGATCAAATGCTAAATTTCATCCATGAACTTTGACTTTTGAACACTTTTAGCTCCAAAACTATTTTTAACACTTTTTTAATCCTCAACTCTTAATTATGCACATTTTTATTCCTTTTGTTATCACACTGTTAATTTTATCTGATGTGGCATGCCACATACACAAAAATTGAATTCTTTTCATTTGCAAATTCTACGTGACAATTTTTAATTAAGTGATTAACTTATCTTAATTAAATTGTTTGAAAGTATAGAATTAAAAAAGAAAAAAAAGACAGAAAACTTTGCTGAAGTTCGTCTTCTTCGGTGAACTTCCTACCCTAAACCTTCTCCAGAACCCAGAATCCTTTGAGAACTTTGAAACCCCCATATATCACTTATCACCCTTCATCTTCATTACCGCCTTTATCTTCATCAATGGTCAAACTCTCCCCTAAGGGACAACCTAGTGGTTAAGATTAAATCTCTATCTTGAAGAATTTAAGTTCAAAACATGAGATGGGTGGGAGGATTTGGAAAGAGAAAGGCTATCCACTATGATGTAATGACGTAAAACAATATATATCAATAGTCAAACTACAAACAAGGGTGGGGTTGGGAGGAAGGAACATAATGTTAAAAATTTTGTAATTTTTGTGAGCTACCATTAGTTGGAGATTTTAGTTTAATTAAAATGGGTTGACAACACTAGTCCAAAACATATGACAGTATGTAAGGCCCAAATCGTGATCAGTTTGTATGAGCCATAAACTTCTCGATTAGGATGAATATGGGACGGCTAGCATAGGCCTAAAGCTCATTAGGCCTTTGATGGGAAGGACTATTGGGCTACTGTATATATAAAAGTGGCTAGGTCCCTTGTGCTCCAAAATAGGAAATGAAGAGGAAGTACCTTCAAATCCTTAATACGGTGATCTTCTCCATGGCTTCTTCAATGGCTTCATCACGTACGCTTTTTATTTAATTCTATTATTTTGGTGCCTTGAATTTACATACATTGATTTTATAATTTCTTCGTATAATTCATCACAACCTTAGCCTTTGTTTCGATTGAAATGAGATCAGGGAGAAGGGAAGGAGAGTGAAGAAAAACCCTCGTCTCTAAATGAGATAAATGGAGGGGAGATAGACTCTCCCTAAATTCGTTATTTTTAATCTCTTCAATTTAAGAGAATTCAATTTATTTTTATTATTATTTTTAAATATAATTAAAATTTATATTCTAACATTAATTTTAATATATAAATTTATAAAATTTTAATTAATTTTATAATTTTTTTAATTTATTTAATTAAATAAAAAAATTAATCTTTCCCTCTCTCTTATTTTTTCTTTTATCTATTCAAACAAAATTATGATTAATCTTTTACTCTTTTTTTCTTTCCCTCGCCTCCATTCTCCTTCCTTTACTAATTTTTACCCAAATATATCCTAAATATTCAAAAAAAGAAAAAAGAAAAAAGAAAAAATGTTCCAAATACGACTAAAATCCCTAGTCTGCATCTAATTAAGATTAGCTGGCACCACCAAGTCTACCACTGTCTCTCTCGCCACCACCTCCCAAAGTGTCTAAAAAAACCTAGATCATTGCCTCCTGGATGCCCATTTCGTCCAAATCCAGCAATCAAAATCAGGAGAGTTTCAAATAGCACAAAGTAAAAATCAAAACCCAGGAATTTGGGTTCCAATGAATCCAAGGAATTTGGAAATTTGAATTTGAAAACCCAGAAAATTGGGTTAAAAAAACTAGATCTGGGTCTGTAACAACACAAAAGCTAGGTTTGTTCGAACCCTAATCTAGCTTCAAACAAAGTAAGTGATCAAGGTTCGAATTTGGTTTCATTCAAACCTAAACCTAGGTTTAGAAAGGAGGGAGTAGGGTAAGGGACAATGAGGGAAGGGGAAAACAAGGAGGAGGAGGAGAGAAGCAAGGATAAAGAATGTAAGGAAAGACCAATAACCTATTAGTTTGAATGAAAAGAGTTCGATTCCTCTAAAATAAAGTCTCGATTTTGAGTCGAAAAAACGAGTGTTAGGAGAGTTTCTGAATTAATCGGGTCCAATATGGTTTTGAATATCAGGATATATATATAAAGAATGCAGGAAAAGAGAAAAGCTGAGTAGAGGAAAAGAAGGATGATACTAACTGTATAAAAGTGCTGTAACAATTTTTTTTTTTAGATTTTTAAATAAATACTTATTAAATTTTCAATAATTATTCATTGAACTTTAAAATTTTTTTAATAAATACTTAATAAGCTTAAAATTCTTGAAAAAATATCTAATAAAGTCTAAAAGATATCAATCCTTAAAAAATGTAATTCAGTTCTACAAATTAATAGAATAAGAAATAAATCTAAAATATTATAATATATAATTATATAATAATCTACCGTATAAACTCAATTAATAATGTTAGGGTCGTATTGTTAATAAAATAGGAAATAAATTTCTATATAAAAAAAAAGAAGAGAATAAATCTAAAATATTAGGGTGGTACAAACCTCAAATAATGTTAGGGTCCCTAAAATCTTAAAATAATAATAACTCAAATCCTCATTAAAATTCTTCTTAAAATTCTCAAATAAATACTTACTAGACTTTAAAAAAATCTTTAATCAACAATATCAATAAGCTTTCTTAAAAATACTACTCCCCTTGTTCATTTCTAATAAACCTACTTTGATTTTTTGATTTTTTTAACATGAATTTTAAATGAAATTTAATATATTATATAAA